GATTTATTAGTTAAATTCACATGTTTAGCTCACGTTCAAAGTTTTGTCATTCAAGTTCACCGTCAAGGTTTACAAATACAAGAAAACAACTAAACCTACAGAATAAGAGTTACACTAGGGGGCTGCACTCATTGACACATATCTTAATATATGCAGTTTCCAAGCTAGTCTTTGTTGTTTTTACTTAAGTATTAAGATTTTACTTTAGCTCTATTCTCTGGTATTCTATTAGATAGTTTGATTTCATTTTCACATCAGCACAGGTGCCTTTTTATGCAGAAAAAACTACAGACTTCATAACGGTCAAAAAATATTTGTCTGCTAGATAACTATATGCATCTCTGTGTGAACTTACTTCCAGTTGGGTGCCAGCGTACTGCATTCAGGTAGATTCCACAGTAGTGGAACATGAATTCATGCTCTGATCGCTCTACCTTCCCCTCCAACAATGGCATGAGGTTATAGCCGTCTAACTGTCTGGAAGAAAAAGGTGCAATTGAGAGAAAGAGAGAGTGGGAGAGGGAAAAGGTGGAATATAAAGAGAGCATTACCACAACTCTACATGCAGAAAGAGACACTAGACTTTTGATTTCACCTACAATCCTTGCTAAATTTCCTGAATCTGTGTCCACACAGAAGCCTTTGCCAAAACAAAAGTCATGGCTGTTTACAGATAATGACGTGCTCCTGGATCCACATTGTGATCATCTGGCTAGAAAACAAATGAATTATTATGCTCATGTTCATAGTCTTTGTCTCACCTCTTTTTGTAACTCTAAACAATAGCTTGGCGTACTACTGAATTCAACAAATACAGAAGCTTGTCAGCATTCCCAAGAATAAAACAAATGAGACTCAGTGAATGATAGCACACACAATACAAAGAAGGCACCCATTTCAGCCAGTCTTTACCTGTCGGGTTGAGTGTCCTTGGCCAAATATTTCAGCGTTGGATACAGGTCCATGAGGCTAGTGGGTTCATCTACTACTCTTCCAGCTGCCAGTCTGCCAGGCCAGCGGAAAATACCAGGCACCCTGATCCCCCCCTCCCAGCCCCCCATAGCTTTCCCACCTATAGGTGAGAAATATCACAAGACCAGTATCTGTATTTTTTGCAGTAAATGCAGTAAAAAAAGATACAATCTTTGTATAATTGTCATTTAACCAAGTTAGACTTATGTTAATGTTTTATCAACAGTTCATATATGTTTTGAGACTTCGAATACCAATGAAACTGCTATAATTACATCAAAGATTGCAGTGAATGTAAATATCATTAAAAACAGTGTAACATGATATCTACCTTTATAGACGCCATTCCAGCCTCCTTTCTGGCCGATTAGCGAATCAGCATCCTCCAGGTATCCACCATGGTCTGATGTAAAGTACATCAGAGTATTGTTTGCCAGGCCGAGGGAGTCCACCGTCTCTGTCATCTTACCTACGAAACATATTAAATAAAGCATTAGAGGTGGTTAGGCAGTAAAGAGATCAATTGAGAGTTCTGCTCTGACTTTACTCTGTCTTATTTTTCGTAGTATGTCTTTTAGTGGTCACCATAATTTTGAAATGCCACACATACAGAACAGTGTTATACGTAGGTGACCCAGTGATGATGGGATGTTTGCTCCTTCGTGAAATGTTGCACTGTGTTGGCGGCCAATCAGACCAGTTTAGACCCTCAAAACAGAGTAAATGTTTGTAAACGATGCATGCCAATATTAGCACATTAACTGTATAGCCAATCTCTCACCGATGAGCCAGTCCACTTCTTCTAGGTTGTCACCATAGCGACCATGGCGACTTTTGCCAGCAAATGCGGGGGTTTTGAAGAGTGGCGTGTGGATATGTGCCAGTGAGAATAAGAGGAGGAATGGACGATCAACATTCCTGAAGAGGAGAGATGATAAAGGATAAGGCAATAACACTCTAAGCTACAAATTTTAAAAAACTGTTCACTGACCAGCTGTTTTTACCAGCTGAAATTACTTGAAAATTAAACAAGTATTTTTGTTTTTAGAAGAAACAAATTGTGGGATGAGTGCTACAAAATGGGTAGGCAAGTCTGAAAATACTGAGAGAGATAAAAATGTTGATTTTGGGTCTTTTTATGGAATTTGTTGATTGACAGTACGAAAAAGCTATTTTTTCACCATAAAACACTAGAAAGAAACACTAATGAGGCTCAATCAGCTGCATGCATGTGATGAAACAGGACTACCCAATACAAGTCAGTTTCACAATTTAAGATGTTTCTGTAGACACATAAAATATGAAACTGCTTTGATCAGACATATTTATACCTCTTTATAAAATTTTGTGCTTCTCCCAGCAACCTCTGGGGCAGTGTCTCCACCGTCATTGGCTGCTCGATCACTTCTTGGTTCCTCATGATGATGCAATTCCAGGTGGGCAGGAGTTCAAAGGGTATATACCACACAGCGGTCGCTAGGATAGTAAGAAAACAAAGTGCTACCAGGAGCCAGAGGCTGACGTCCAGGAGGCCACACACATGGGCACACACCTGCAAACACACACACACACACACACACACACAGTGGGTTTAGAAAGAAAGCGCACACACACTAAATGAAACTACTGCCGTACAGTACACAGCTAGATGCCTGGGTTTAGAGGTTTTGGTTTCAAAAATTCAGATATATAGATCTCTCGATAGATAGACACTGAACAAAATTATAAACACTTTTTTGCTTTTGCCCCCCCATCATGAGCTGAACTCAAAGATCTAAGACTTTATCTATGTACACAAAAGGCCTATTTCCCTCAAAACTTGCGACATCTGTGGCATTGTGCTGTGTGATGGAACTGCACATTTTCAAGTGGCCTTTTATTGTGACCAGCCTAATGCCGTGTTCCAGACCGCTCGGAACTGGGAAATTTCCAACCTCTAACTAGAAAAAGTACTATGGAACACCACTTGAAGTCGGATTTCCTACTTGTGAAAATATGTACCCCGACTTCACGAGTAGCAGCTGCATTACGTCACAAAACAATGCCATGGAGACACACACTGTAAATGGTAAACCAAAGCCAACAAAAAGTACATTTGCATGTATGTAATTTAAATTAAAATCATAAATTTACAGAATCACAAAAACTTTATTGATCCCAGAGGGGAAATTCTTTTGTCACAATTGCACACTTGTCAAAGGTAGATAGATAAAGAGTATATAAATATAATAGTATAAATAAAAATGTAAAGACAAATATAAAGGTGTGTGGAACCAAAAAGTACTAATGAATAAATAGCTGCAGAGAATATTGCACATTAATTATTAAACAGGTAATATTGGACAGAAAATAGATAATGAAACACGATCATATAGTAAAACCTGTTCCGCATGTACACTGATGTACAAATATGTTAGGCCTATTAGGTAGCTGGCTACAGTAAAGAATCTCATGTGTCATCTTCTCTGCATAAAAGTTATTGTTAAAAATGCCAAAACATTAGGAAGTGTAATTTACAACACTGACTGACTTGAGGGTTACCAACTGATGTAGCTAGAGATGTACACATTTAACTAGTAACGTAAAGGCTATTTAGATCAGAAGAAGGAGCGTTATTGCCAAGTAGTGTTTTACACATACGAGGAATTTGCTGTGGTGATAAGGTGCTACACGTAGACAAACATACAGTCAACATAAATAAATGTGGAAATATATAAATATGGAATTGAAGAAAAACATTGCAGATATATACACGTGCATTATTCTGGTTCTGGGTCTGTGCCCTGCAGAAGTAACGTAACGGAAGAGAATATTGTGTACATATAAATATATAAACTGACAACATAAAAATATACAACAAAGATCAACAATCAGCAACAAATATGTGCGACGTGCCAGTTCTGTGCCCGACACAAGATGAAACAGTATTTACATGTCCAGAGACATTTGTATCGTTTGCAAGGGGGGAGTGTCAGTGGGGGACCCGGGACTTGTTAATTAGGCTAGCTGCAGACGGGAAGAAGCTGTTTTTGTGGCGAGAGGTTTTAGTCCTGATGGACCGCAGCCTCCTGCCAGAGGGGAGAGTCTGAAACAGTTTGTGTCCGGGGTGGGAGGAGTCAACTGCAATCTTTCCTGCTCGCCTCAGAGTCCTGGAGTCATACAAGTCCAGAAGAGAAGGATGATTGCAGCCAATCACCTTCTCTGCAGAGCGAATGATGCGCTGCAGCCTGCCCTTGTCCCTGGCAGCAGCGTATCAGATGGTGATGGAGGAGGTGAGGATGGACTCAATGATGGCGGTGTAGAAGTGCACCATCATTGTTTTTGGCAGGCTGAACTTCTTCATCCTCTGCTGGGCCTTCTTGGTGAGAGAGATGATTTGACTTGAGGTCCTGGGAGATGATGGTGCCCAGGAAGCGGAAGGAGTCCACAGTGGCGATGGGGGAGTCACAAAGGATGATGGGGGAGGGTTTAAGTCAGTTGTTGCAGTTAAACTGCCATCCTTTGAAGTAACACCTAAAACACTGCTGAAAGTGCAACTGTGTGTACACTTTATCACGGTCAGTCATGGTTTTCGTTCACTTTCGGCGTCATGCACCACCATGCTGGAACGCTTTGAGGTCGGAAGTCAGAAGTTTCAACTGGGAAAAATCCCAGTTCCGACCGGTCTCGAACGCAGCATAAGGCACACCTGAGCAATATCTTTGATAACATCGTTGAGTTAATTTTGTTCAGTGTATATATATCTATCAAATAAACAAAATGACATTTTTAAAAATAAAAGAAAGAAAGAAAATTTACCTTCCTCTCTGATAACATCTCAACCAATATTTGACATCCTCGTCTATACAAGTGCAGCATTTATTCCAGGGCTGTTGCACTGTATTGCATTGTACATGTAATATTGTGGTACCATGGCATTTCATTTTACTGTCTGGGACTTGGATTCTGATGCAATTCCACGATTTTGCCACCAGATGATATCACTCACCATTAATAAAGTCGTCACCAAGTGAAACAAGTAGTACATTGTGTCCTTTGTTCATACATACTGTACAGTATAAATTAAGATTTGAAGATAGTTTTATAGGTTTCTGTCTTCCTGCTGAGCACTCTAAATTACAGTAGTTATCCATTTTCCTCTTTAGAACAGACATTTGTTTTAAGCCTTTTTGTTTCCTCTACTTGTGGCACAGCTGGTTCCCATTTATCCTACATGTACTGGCCATCGCCAAGTCCTCACAAATTTTAGTTTCAGAATTACTTTGCTTTCTCCTAAAAACAGGTTTCAGGCTGAGGTAACTGTTGATTTCACAATCACAATCTCTGTTCCCAATGTTTTTTTCAACCCAGTGCCTCATGTCTAAGTGATTACACATTAGTTATTTTGCTTTGGGGTGAACGGCACAGCAACTCTTTGTTTTCCAGTTTCTTCCTCGTCGTCTGGCCACCAAAATGCAACTCTCAGTTTTCTTTGTTTTTCATTCAGATTTCCAGCTCAGCTATCTTTGTCTCATATTGTGCTTCTTCAGATGTGCCTTTGTGTGATCATTTCTAAAAGGTAATTTATTCTCATAAACACATACATGTAGCAAAATTCATTCTCTGCTTTTAACCCATCCCTCAAGGGAGCAGTGGGCAGCCACTGTACAGCACCCGGGGACAACTCCAGATCTGGAGTTGCAGAGGAAATTAAAAGCCCCAACTGACACAACATCACCCTTACCAGTGTGAAAAGTCCCAGACCAAGCACCATGGTAAGATTTTGGAGTGTGTGCTGTAGGTCTTCCAGCACGTCACTGCCCTGCCCGGGCACACAGGCATTGAAGAGGGTGAACGGCAGGCCGTAGAAGTAGCTGAAACCATGCTGGTTCGGATGGTGGCAGTGGTCCCCTCTGTGTTCACAGTTCACACCCAAGTGCCACTTTCCTGCAGAGACAAAGAGGAGAGGACAGGAATGTGAATACTAGTAAGCCTTTCACATTGCAAAATGATTTAATCTCAACATCCTACATACACTTGTTGTTTTAATGGTTAATTTAACACCGGGCCATGGAGTACCTTAAAAATTTGCCTTTTGGCCAGCACTAGCACATTTACAGTGATACCGATGTGCATTGTCCCTGAAAATAAATAAATAATATAAAAATACTTGGATGCCAAGTGTAAACCATGTGGTTTTTGTGTGCTTCCAACACACAGATCCCCATTTTATATTCTTTACAGAAACACTGCACACAGGTGTGTGTAAACATGCAAGTGCCATCCTGTACAACTGATTCAGCTCGACAACTGACTTAAGTGTCCATAAGTGTCTATTTCTGTTGCCTGGTCAGGAGAAATTTCACTATGGAGGTCCAATAAATAAATTATCACATTATGTTAACTCACCCACTAAGCTGGTGGTGTATCCTTGTTGCTGCAGCCTCTTAGCGAAGGTGGTCTCACTGGGTGGCAACCCCCCTGAACCTCCAAGGAACAGCAACACCTGTACACGGCCTGTGCTGCCCATTCCTAGTCATACAAGTACAAAAATAAAATGAATAAACACATATGGTGCATGCTGTCAATCACTGCTGTACACATACGACCAGGATGCTCCTACATGTACTGGCTAAGTGAGGTTGAGATTGTCTGTTACCCGAGCGGAGAGCATAGCGCCCAGTCATAAAAGCGGCCCGGCTCGGGGTGCAGAGAGGAGCAGCTGCAATGTGCTGTGTCAACTTTACCCCTTCAGAAGCAAGTCGGTCTATGTTAGGAGTCCTACAGGTGTAAATAGGTAGAACAGAGACATATAGATACTGAAATACATTTACATAACATTTATGTGCAGCCCATCAGAGGGAGACAAGAAACAGAGATATTGACATACCATAGGCTACACATGATGTAATAAAAAGGCTGGAATGGTGATGAAAGACATTGTTAAAAATGAAAATTTTCAGTGAGACAGTAGAGGAAACAGAAGCGTAACACATTTGTTAGGACTGACCTGATGGTATCATTACCGTAGCATCCTATATCACCAATGCCCAGGTCGTCCACCATCATCAGAACAAAGTTGGGCTTCCTCTCCACCTCTGCCCCTGTGACATCACTCCTTGCTTCCAGGAGCAGGGAGAGAAGTACCAACAGGGGGGACCTTAGGGTAAAATATAAATGATTTGGGCTATTTAATTTGACTTTAAAGAAAAATAAATAAATAAATAAATCGATGGCCTACTGCTGAAACTTTGGACTCTGTTTTCAACTGTATTCTGACATTTGACCAAAGATTGATTGAAAGAAAACATTAATAATGAAAACTAATTTGCAGCCCTAAAACTATACTACTACCACTACTAAAAATAAAGCTCTTGCATTTTAAAATCTGTTTTTTCACTCCAGTATATGCCTTGCCCACAGAAGTGTCCTGCCTTTTTAGACCGATTTTTCAAGAAATCCCATTTATCTTCAGCAAGGTTTCTTAATTTCTTCTTTCTGTCTAGTTTTACAGTTACCCCTCACAAGCAAGGCAACAAGTTGAACTTCCCTTTCACTAGACCCGGCAGTTAAATAACGTTACTACGGCACAAGAAGACTTGGCACAAACGGTATTGAGGAACATTGACCTTTGTCTGGAGCAGGAATGATTGACCTCTCAGAAACTCTGTTAGCCTATGTTGTTTTGACTGATGTGACCGCAGTGTAGGCCTATACAAAACAAATGTTTGTATGTTGATAACTATATTGGGATAACTGTAAGGTCCAAAGTGTGAACACAGATTGCAATAGCTTGAATGGAAAACCGTCGACATCAAATGGACGCGTCAGTTAGTTTTCCTTCTTCATTTGTTGTTCATTCACCTGGTTATACGGTAGTTCCGTCAAAAGACATTGCACGTACTGTTGTTTGAAAAAGGCAAACCTACGATGTAGACTGACTCACCTCATGTCTGCACAATACACTGATTCATCCACATGAATGTTACACGTTTCCTTGTTTGCTGCTTCAGCCACTGGACCCGCCTCCCTGACTCTACTGTACTGACTGGCTTGTGAGCGCACAACCACATTCACCTTAATGTGTGGAGTAAATGCGCACGAAACGTTATGCCTTTCAACAGTGGTTCCCAACTTGGGAGATCAGCACCTCTCAAATGATTAAATAGGTAGATAATAGAGATGACTTGACTTAAACCTCTTTGGTACATTAAAAACTTTGAACAAAATAATCTGAGAAGGAAAAACTGCTCTTTTCATCTCATGATGATGCTGATGGATAGAAGCATGTATTTAAACCTGATGAAAACAGACCCCTTTTTCCAGAAAAAACGCCTAAAATTACATACCCAAAATTTATCAGGAATAACTCCTCAACCATTTGGCCTAGAATCATAATTCTGGTCTCCTTTGAAAAGTCAGAAGCTACGGAATATGAATCCATTGTGTATTAATATATTTATTTTACTTTTACAGACTACATGGAGATGCAATAAATAAAAAATCTGAAATTTATAGCCTCGCCTGGTAAAAAAAAGCTATATTTTGATGCAATAAACCATCCTGAGTTAGCTTTTAATGCAACTGAATATCTTCTAATACACCTAGAATGCAATTGTAACTGTAAATCTGATGAAAATAAACTAAAATACAACAGTTATCATACAACATTTTCAAATATACCAGGTGAATTTCCATATTTTGGCAATATTTATTGTTAAAATGCTGACTTTTATTGATAGATATCTTTAAAACACTTTTTCAGTCCATACAACCTATTTCCAAATGACAAAACATTGAAATATTGATAAAAACAGGAGTATTCATCAACATTCCTGTCACCAAAAGCACTCCCATGCTTTACAGGCCTGTAGATTTAGAAAGGAGCATCCCACAGTGATGAGCTTGAGCAGACCTTTCATTTGATATGCATGTCTATATATCTCCAACGGATCGGCCACAAAATGTCAAAAAACACTGTATGCTGCAGGCAGGCAGCTTGCAGGTATTGCGCAATAATCAAGATGGCGCCCGCTTAGACTCGGAGCAACAACATCGGCGGGTTTCGGAGTTAAAACGGCGGAAAAAAAAATGTTTCAATCATTATCATCGCCCAGAGCACCGTCTGCTTTCAAAAGGTTAAACATGCCCTCTTCAGCTATCCTGCTGTATTATATTACATCCATATTTACTGGCTGCATTTGAAGTTGTGTGTTTTATTAAATGTTCAAGGATTCAGTCAAAGGATTTTTACATGTGTAAAAAGTAACAGCTCATTTACTCAAGTAGGGGAGACCGGGTATGGTTGTAACATGGGGAGAGTTGTAACAACACCAGTTCCACCAATTAGAGATAAGATAGGAGTTAGGTGATTATTTGAGTATTTTCCTACCTCCTCCCCAATCAGGCATGGTGGTTATCAAGTTTGGAAACAGGTACATTCAGAATATATAGAGAAAAAACTTATTTTGATGTCAGAAAGTGGATTCTTTGACCATGACGATATTTTGTTTGGTATCTATACTATTGCAGATAAAATTGTTTGACTTAGATTGAAAAGTAGTTTCTTAGGCAACATGTGATGCATTTTTTTCCTTTTTAATTTCAACCCACTATGGTAATACAGCTAGCTAACATTGTCTGACAGGAGTGGGGTGAGTTGTAATGCGGCATGCAGACCAAACGTGAATTTTCTCCTCGCGACGCTTTCCTCGCATGAGTACATTCGCTGCAAGTGTTCACACACAACGCGAGAAGGCAATTTTAACTACTGAGTGTTCACACGCGATAATGCGAATAAACACAACTTGGCATTACTACAGCTGTATTAACCCAAAGTAAACATTTTGCTGTGTTTAAATAGCAATAAACGGATCAAACTGATGCCGAAATAACTACAACATGATGCAGACTTGTTAAACATATGAATTCATGCTTTGTCAGGTCTGTCAGCAAGACAGCAGGACAACAACTAAAATGTTTGTTTTCTGAATAGATCAATCAGGGCTATTCTATGCTAACTTAAAGTAAAGTACAGTAAAGTACAGTAAAGTACAACAATAGCTGGAATAAAGTTACAGACATGTTTTCTGAACTCACCAGGAAGTTCAAACTCCTCGCTTCCTTTTCTCCAAGTAATGTCCAGCTTTTTCTGGTTTTTATATAAATATGAAGTAGTAGTCCAACAGAGTTAACGACACTAACAACAACACTGGAACCGGATGTGCATGGAAACTAGCTGCTGAGAAGCTTGAGTGAAGATAAATCAACGTTGTAATCCCAAAAACTGAAGTAAAAAGCTAATTTATTAAAAGCAGTGTACTCCGAGCTCCTCCCGTGAGAAAACGGCGTAGTTGTCGGAGCAGAATCCAGTCCGACTACGGGTGTTTATTTGTCCAAAACCTGGAACGCTGCTCCCTGCTCCTCTCCCCCAAGTTTAGCAGCTCTCAGTCGGCCATCAGATTTTCATTAGCCCGCTCTTCCAGGCCCTCTCCACACAACGCTCTGAAGCCGTCGGTGACGTAGGGACAATTTCAACGCTGATAGGCTATCGCGGCTCTACGCGTCTTTGCATTGACTTTGTATGTAAACTCACCGCCCTGAACGCTCGCTTCGCTTTTGGTCTGAAAGCACTGTAACACTTCTTTAAACAGTGCTATACATACAACTAGGGATTTACTTGATTTTAATATTTTACAGAGTGATCTTTGCAGTCTGGGCCCACCAAGGCTGACTCCAGGGTTACCAACATTCATTTGTCAGCACTGTGACCTGTACTTCCCATTCACGTTGTTCACATGTTGGCGTGTTGGCGTGTGTATCGGCACTCATCTTTTCTATACTCCATCTCCGCCGGTGGAGATGGCAGAGAAGCATATGGGCATGTCAGAAATTCCAGTGCGCATGAAAAGGTCTCGGTACGCCAAAGAGTAAAATATAGAAGTGCTTGGACTACATACCGGTGAGTACCAGCCCACTTTAAGCACTGACTGTGACATTGATTAAGAATATACACACATTGACACACTCAAGCACAAACCAGATTTTTGTTAGACCTAAGGATGTACAAAGATGTTATTTAATTAAGTACATTGTAGTAGTATTTATTAAGTACATTGTTCAGTAAGTTTATTCTATAGATACATTTATATACACATACTGTACATACACGCGAGTCATCAGACATAGTCTTTTACAGTGAGAAACATTGTTCTTTTGTATCACTACCTGTTTTTGAAGCATATCATATAGTGTGGCATCTATTTTTGCTTCTTTTGTCTGATTGTTATAACTTACCCCAGCATGTGTTACAACCTACCCTGGTATTGGGGTAGGTTGTAACAAGGGAACACGTTGCATTTGACATCAACTCACAAGGTCTGTGATATTCTTGTAGAGGATTGTAGTGATCAAATGTGGGTACTTTGTATAAAAGTGTGAGAACTCTAGTGTTATAGTTGTTGAAGCAAAAAGTGTTACAACCATACACAGTGTCTCCTACTTTACCGAAGCACAATTTGCATGAATTTGTAGTGTACTTCCCTCCACCACATTTTAAAGGGAGATTGCTCCACTAAATGTTATTTTGCGATCAAGACTTATGATAAATTGCTCATTACTGTAGTTTACACCACTGATTCCCAACCCTTTTGCCAATTTTGGTACTGATGGCCTCCCATCACATGTTGTCTGTGAGTTGTGGGTAATTTTCCCAAGTGTATTACAATACACTTGGGAAAATTATCTAAATGCATCTTACACCTCTGGTATTTTTATGAATATGAGTTTATCTCACAGACACCAACAAAGCTGAGTTTAATTATTTCAACCATGAAAGACAAGTTAGCCCGATTGGCTTGATTCAAATTAACTCTGAGTCAATATCAAGTTGTCATAGCTGATTGCAGTGCTGAATTTTATTAGATGATTCACAGTTGATGTGGGCGTGATGACTGGTGGGTATGAAATGAATACAGGCACATGTACAGGAATTTTGTGTGTATTCGTAAGGCAGGAAAAATCAAAGGTTCCCACATTTTACTTTTGAGGGCCTTAGGTGTGTCTTTATGGGCCTGTCACCATTAATCATTCACACAACTGTGAATTTCCTTGTTATAAATTCCTGACATATCGAGCATTTCAGGTCATGTCTTAGGATGCCTGTTTGTTTTTTTTTCTTTCCAGCAGCTTGTAGGCATTAAAGAAAGTCACAAACAGAGAGAGAGAGAGAGATACAGGCACACGCAGCTGCACACACGTTTATATAAAGGTGTTCAATGAAAAAATAATTTATGTACCACCTCCTGTTCTAAGTTTTTTAACATTTGAATAAGTTAAATAAGGTAATTTGATTTGTCATATCACAGTAAGACACACGCACTCACACATACACACACACACAAAAGACAAAGATATTTGGCAGGGAAATAAAAAAACAACTCCCACGAAAACGGTTTAATTGACTCAAACATTATTTACACAATTCCAGAACAACACCACAAGTGCCAGATGACAAAAATGAAGAAGACAGTTCCTACACAAATAAAACACAGAATATTTAAATAAAAAAAGGAAGAGTCACTAATCTAAATCAAAAATTAATTTTCTTAATTTGAATCAAGATGTATACAGGATAGGAAAGTGCTTCTCCCATAGAGATTGTGTTCTTAAAATCACCTGCAAAACATCTCTGCTTGTTTTTAATCTCTCTTCTGATGATGACATTGTTCTTCGTTTTCCTCTCTGGAATATTCAAGAGATGGTATAAGGCAGGACTGTTCAGCGCCATGATTGATGCCTTAGCATTATCTGGGAAGTGCACTTCAGGACCCAGAAAGTCTAAGATTTCCTTGGTTTACATTCTGTTCTGGATGCTGTTCTCCATTCGTTTTCGTTCACAAGGAATCTGACTGCTTTGGACTAAATGTAGAGTGAACCTTAAAACTGGAACAAGGACTGCTTGTGTATTACAAGCAGTCCTTGTTCCAGTTTTAGAGATTTATTGTTGTTTCAGTCTCCTTTACATCAAATCAGTCCCAGTAAGGTTTCAGAATGTGCACTGCAGCACAGCAGAGTGCTCTTGAAAGGGGCGAATACTGCGTTAAAAGGAGGATGTTTTGTTTTAAAGGCATTAGTGGCTACATCCGAAAGCTTGTACTATTATTTAACGGGTATTTTGTGCATTATCACGCCATGCCATTGATTACAGACACACACTATCCACTTAGTTCCAATGTGTCAAGAGAAAATCAGTCTATCACAGATCACAGGATTAAAAAGGCATTTCAAAGAGAGCTTTTGACCTGGCGTCCAGCCCACACTTTATACAGTAGGATTAATCGATATGTGACATCACAGACTATTTATATTTCTCAGCTTGAGGCTAGGCTGTTAGCAACAGTCTCTGTCCTGTATTGCAGCTATATGGTGCTTTACAAGTAACACACATTACATGAACTGCAGCACTATGCAACCTCTACAACCCTATTATCAAAGTTTAAAGGGAGCAGAGCAAATACAAAACTGCAAGGCAACAAAAAGACATTCAGAAGTTAATATTTTTTGTGCTATAGTAGGCAAAAAAACAAACACAAACAACAGTTGGGCTTTTTATACGCAGTACCGCTGCTTCTGAGGCATTTCACAATAATATCACAAATACCACAGCAAACAAGTTGACTAAAGACTACCTGTGTCTGCTCTGAGGCAACACTGCTAAATGTAAAATTCCTATAAAAATCACAGGTGAATGGTGTTTGTAACATGGAAATATGAACAATACAAAGAAACACTGTGACAGCAACTGGCTTACTCAAATAAAAAGACACACAATGAGAGTTTTAAAGCTGAAATTAATGTAGGCTGTTAAAAGCAAACTGGCCCACGGTGAACAGATATACAGTAGCAGTTGGAATAATGTACAATAATGTAACAGTTTCATATACACAAAATGATAATTTATGGATCAACTAAGATCATACATTCCTCAATTGTCTTTATTGTGATACATTCATCGACTATTTTGCCTGTTTTCACTTTTTATGTCTCAGCTCTCTTCCCTGTGTGTCTGTAGATTGGCCAAGCCAGGCTGTGTCAGTGAAAGGCACTATAGAGGAGAATTTACTGCATCACAACTAGACTGACACGTACTACATCAGAACAATGTCTAATACAATACTACATGACCGCTTTTGAAGTATGTCCATGTCAAGTGAAAATTCATCTGTTGACAGAAACAGGGTTGGGCTGGACTTCACTTCAAATCAAATCACCACTCAGTAAATTTGAAAATATATGCATTCAAAAGTGAAGGGATAATATTGTCACATAATTTGACATCTTTTGAATACTTGAATCAATGTGCAGTGGGTTTGTTTCATTTGTTTGTTTGTTTGTTTTTTGGTGTTTAATTGAAAATTTCACTCTCAGTTCATTTATTGAACAAAGAAGAATGGAAGTCACCCAACATGATTTAAAACAAAGCCCCTTCACCAGTCAAAAAAAACACACACGCACACACACACACACACACACACACACACACACACACAGTGACATCAATGGCCCACTCAACACACATTGGACCATGTAACAGCATCCCTAGAATCCTATACTGTTTTCCTAGCCAGAATCCAGAAATCACTGTGGTAGTTATTGTAGCCCCTGTTATCCATTTATCCTGCCTTTATACTGCACACATTTACACTGAAAAAGAAAAATATATTTTACTTAAGTGACTGCTTACTAGTGGATTTTTCAGACAATTAAAAAAAATCCACTTGTAAGAATTCAGTACAAAGTTAAACGTTTACAACACCAATATCTGTCACTGGTTTATATCCATACTGAATTACTAGAACTCGATAGCCTTCTCAGTGTCACACTTAATTTGAGATTTAATCTCTTTAATGTCCACTTGTCTAGTTGTAGGATTTGGTTCAAAGAAGAAAGTCTAACCAATCATCTTAACAATCATAAAACCTCTAACATGCACATCTATTTACTTTCTTTTTCTTAGCCAACTCATTTCCCACATATACACACACACACACACACACACACACACACACACACACACACACACGGTCTGGGGCCTCACAGTAATTTAGCTCTACAGAACATAGAGCCTGACAGTGAGATTGCCACTTTTCTTGCCTGTAGTTGGTTCAGACAGTCATGTGATCATTGCTGGTCTAGGAGGAGTTCAGCAGGTTGCTAAGGACTGCAAAAAGGGGGGAAATACACTGTAAAACATTTCTGTACAGTATGTTTTTGATCTGTGTGTTTGTATCTTCTTAAAATGCACTTTGTGTGGGTGTGTGTGCGTGCCCTACCCTGCGGATTGGACTGAGCCTCTGGATCAGCTTTGCGGGCAGCTTCTGGATCTTGTTCTAATCACAGAGATTGACAAAGTCAGACGAAGCAAAAAAGACGCAGAAAGACAAAATGAAGCAGACAAGTCATCGCAATTTCACAAGCATTTAGGTAACTGACAATGAATAAAGTTTGACAGTGAAAACACCCTGGGCAAGTTTCTGAGGATGTTATATATATATATATATATATATATATATATATATATATATAATATTTTTTCCAGCACTAATTGCTTATTATCACCACCAAGAAATTTGTTGCATTTTTTCCTGGTGTTCTCAAAACTACTCGTGTCTGTGCAGTCGATCCTTCCCATTTATTGTCAATGGAGCAGCTCCAGGCAGCTATGTTGCAATTTATAATACTTACTCTCCACTGCTGTGGGAGAATCATTCATATTCATGAATACTGACTGAGCTGTCTCAGAAACTTGCAGGGAAATAACATAAATGAAAGTGATGCATATTCAAATTTAGAATACTGATACATACTAGCTATTAAAATAAATATTCACAGTTTAGTCTTTAATTCTGAGTCTGACATTTGCGTTAAATTGATTAAGATTAATGGCCTATTGTTCATGTTGACTATAAATGAAAATGTTGAATTAGTAGAACTGGTATGGAAGATGTGTGTGAGTTGACTGTAATCGATAAAACTTTCTAAGGGATAAAGCTGAGTCCGCTATGTCTCAAAGAAAGACTGCTGAGCTCGCACTGGATCCTGGGTACAGCAATGTCTTACTGAAGACGCTGGAAGCCTAATTAAAGGCTGGGATTCTGCTGTCCAAGTCAACCATATACTGCGCTGTCCTGTATGACATCAATAACTCTTAAGGGATCTGCTCTGAAGATCTGATGGGAGTTGATGATAGTTGAGTGAATGACGTTAGTCTTTTGCTCTTCCTTAGTCCAGACCAGTGACTTTTAAACATTTCCAGGCATGGACCTAAACAAGCCATACAGGCTTAAGTTGGGTACCAAATGGCACTAGAAAAACAACAGATTCTTGGCTTGCAGGTTAATGTTTAAGAAACAAGGGTCTAAATGAATTTATTGTCTAAGTGCTTAAGTCCAGTCAAATATCAAGCCTTGTGTTCAGCAGTTAGGTATCATGTTATTATTTTTTTGTGTGGTTAGTTAATTAGTCAGTAAGATAAATACCCTGTCTATTTTTGAAGCACAGTTTCTTCTTCTGATAAGTGAAGTATCCTACGACTGCTCCCACTACAGCCACAGCAATTGCACTCACGATGCCTGCTAAAGAGCCGGAGCTGGCCCCTGTAGGAAAACAAACAAACAAAATAGATGAGATGAGCTGCAAATGCATAGTCAACCATGCCAATGTACCATTTGAACTACAAACATTAATTTCAGCATGTCTTATCATACAAATGTGTTGGTGTAACACCTATTTATGGAGATAAGTAGAGTAATTTTCTAGTATCACCACTGGGTGCCATTTTCTGGTTGAAATAATGAAAGGCAATTAAGCAGCCAGGCTCAATGACAAGACATAATGTGTGTGTGTGTGTGTGTGTGTGTGTGTGTGTGTGTCGCTAGGTAATCTGGGGCAAAATATATTAATGGTTATATTATGCTTCTAAAGTCCTCTAAATTTATTCTAAATGAGGTGTAACGTTTTTTGCACTTTTAAACTAAAATTATGAGAAAGAAACTGGACAATATGGATTGTATACTGTAAAACTGGCTTCAGCCAGAGTAATAATGGCAGGATATGTTGGAGTGAAAATAGAGAGAGAAATGGTGGGGCAAGGGATGTTGGGTGTAAAGTGTGAGTCAGTAACTTAAGAACACAAAAAAAATGAAATAGTACACAGTAAATCCAGTGCTAAACAAAAAAACAAGGGAGTGGCATAAGTAATAAGTGGCGTGACTCAAGATAAATTTAAAAAAGAGAATGAGTCAGTGAAATCAAGTCGAATAAAATGGGAGAATGTGCTAGGGTCAGTCAAAGGAAGTGAAGGTGGCTGCAGGCACAATTGTGTTAGGCATGTGCAGAACAAGAAGAAATGCAGAACATGGACAAAAATTTGTCTGGTGTAAAACGTTTGCACGAACTGACACACATACAGTGTACATACACAGATATTGAGATAAATTGACTAACAGGATGTACTACAGAACTATGGAACAATATATGGGAACGTTATGTGCTCGGCAGTCACATTACTATATGCTACATGGCTGAGGTCTGAGAATCTGGAGCTACAGCAGAGTTTGTCAATATATCAACATTTATCACTTATGTATGTTAGCCAACTATTTTTTTGGCTTTTAAAAAATACTTAAAATTAAAAGT